TCCCCTCCTTGTTGTCTTTACTTACTTTAACAGCACAGTAATCAAAGAATCCTGTTTCTGAGAACACTGCTACCAAGATCATCTGAAAAAGAAGATAAAAACGTCAGTCTGAAAACAGGTACATCTAGGCTTTGCACCTTTCCTTTGGAGAAAGAAAGAAACTGATCCTATAAAAACATAGCATACTTGTCCTTTTGTTGTTAGTATAAAATTAGTAAACTGGTAACTAAAAAGGTTGGGAATAATTCTGTCCTAGTGTCTGCAAGCACATAAAAGGAGATATCATAGCAAGAATGTGATGTGTATGTGTTTGTAACTAAGAAATCTTTGTAGTAGCTGATAAATAAAATTATAAGCGTTTTTAAAAAAGATAGATTGTCACAATGGATGAAATATTATAGTGTCATTTATTTTAGTGTCAGGGATGGACTGTATCTGTGGCTGGCAGTGGCAGAGTAACAGTTGCAGTGAGTGGAGGATGATGGATCCACAATCTGACAGATCCCAGGATGGAATTCCCCAGGCAATGGGAGGAGGTAAAACGCTGTGACATCAGGCAGCCCAGCCCATACACATACAGAGAACATCTGAACTGAGCGATCCCACACAGTGACAGATCCAAGATAACACACCATCAGCAGGCGCAGCAGGCACTAGAAGAGAAGGCTTTTGGATCGTGATGATGTCATCACTCACTGACACATTGCACTTGTGATGGATCACACTCACACAGACACGAGATATCAGAGTCAGACATTACCTTCCTCTGCAGACACAGCTCCACCTCCGCTGATGACTGGGAAGAGAAGGGCTGGAACTCCAAAGTGATCAACAGCCACCAGCCAGCTTGCAGTAAGGGACTGAGTTTGAGAGAAAGACTGGAAGGATCGGCAGCTCAGCTGCTACACTGGCCCCAGACAACCGGCATCTTCCTCTGTCCTTTTTTCCTCCCCTCTGCTGCCCCTTCCCTCAGCTGAAGAATCATTCATGAATTTTGGCAGTGTTCCACACAGAGTGCTGGCCTGTGCTGCATCCAGGTGCCCCTTAGATGGCAGTGCGCCTTAGGCGGTTGCCTAGTTTGCCTAGTGGAAGCACTGGCCCTGGGCACACACTGCATCAAGAAGGTAGAGACTATGAGCATGTTTTAGGAAGGCATAAAGAAACTGTAAGCATACTGCAGAGAGGCAGTCAGAGAATACAAGCACACTGTAGAGAGGCAGCCAGAGACTGAGGGCATACTGCGGAGAGGCAGTTAGGCTACAGGCGCACTGCAGAGAGGTAAGGTAGAGACTGTGAGCATGCTGCAAAGAGGCAGTCAGAGACTTCAGGAATGCTGCAGGGATGCAGTCAAAATGTGTGCACACTTGCAAGGAGGTGGTTGTCATGGACTAAGGAGGCAATCAGAATTAAAGAATGCTGCCAGGAGGCAGCAAGGGATTGCAAGTACACTAAAGGAAGGCATACACAGACTTCAAGCATAGTTCAGGGAGGCAGTCAAAGACTTTAAAAATGCTGCAGAGAGGTCATAAAAATATTGTAGTATACTGCAGGGACATTGGAAAACAAAATGCAAGCGTGTTGCAAGGAGACAATCCTACTGTGTGAACGATGCAAGGAGTCAGTCAAAAACTGTGGGAAGGCAGTCAGACAGCAGGTATGCTGTCCAAGAGGTTTTTAGACTGTAGGCATGTAGCTAGGAGGCAGTTAGACTGCAAACACACAGCATGCTGCAGGGAGACAGTCAAAGGCTACAAGTATGCTAATATAAAAGGTAGTCAAAAGATGCAAGTATGCTGCATGGAGGCAGTCAAGGAATGTAAGAATGTTTTCCCCCTGAAAGAATGATCTGTGAAAAACAATGCCTGACTTCTGCAAGCACTGGGTTTTCCAGGAGGGACTCCCAGGCCCTGGCTATCAGCCTTTGGCTTCCATTGAGAATGAGTAACCAGTTCCACTGCTTTCTTATTTTGCTCAACAAAACTTTGTACAGATCCTTGTAAAAAGATACCCACCAGTATTTGTACATATCAGTTATTAGTACTTAACTTTCAGACAATCCCCCCAGCAATGTGCCAGAACAACCTGTAAAGTGCACTATCCTTGGAAATAAAGCTATGGAAGGGCCGGTTTGGCATGGGAGTTCCTCAGGAGGGTCCAGGATCCAGCAGAGAAGGCATTTGTAATATGCCTTTTAGGCAGAAGATGAGTCTAAGCTTTTGGACATTTATTGTACCTTGGTAGGGAAGCAAGGATACAGAAAACAGACAAATGAAGAATTTCTGAACCACAATCTGGAAAAAAAGTCAAGCTAACAGTAAACATATTTCAGCTTCTTAAAAAGGTACATATCACAGGTATAGAGAATGCAGGGATCCCAAAGAGAGGTATGTTGTGATTTCACCGCCCATGGAGGGCCAAAGTTTGCCACTTCCAGTGGCATACCTTAAGGCAAAAGTATTGTAACACAGGTTTTGGATTTTTCTGGGTGTGTCAAAAAAGTCCTGATGAATAACTGTGTTCATGAAGCAGTGTGCATTTGTACATGGATTGCTTCTACAGTCATCTTGGCTAGGTACACTGCACCTGAAGGACACTAGCTATGCCTGGGTTGTCCACTTTACTCTGATGCCATTCTGTTGCCTTTACACTTCACGTCACCACCTTCAGGTTGTGAAAGTAGGTATGTGATCTTAGAGTAAACTCCCATACCTCTGCACACTCCCCTTCTTTTAATAACTGCTCTCAAAGAATCTATTTATCGTGATTACCTGTAATCAACATTACTAGCTCCCTGCCTGAGAACCAGCAGCCATAATGATTGACTCACTGCAAATGAAGGCTGAAAATAGGGCACGCCAAAAGAAAGACTTATCAGTCTGTGAAGTGCCACTGAGCAGGCTCAAAGAAGATATAGAGTCGGTATGAACTGCTGCCCCCACACTTCCTCTCCCAGCCAGCCAAAGAGTGGCTGTGTACGGAGAGAGGGGAGAAAGAGGACACTGTAGCTTTAGGACTGTGCAACCAGGGAAAAGTCCCCCCCCCCCCCCCCCACCACCACCACCACCACCAGCTGGAATAGCAGAGGAAGAGGCAATGGACTGCTGTTCAATCTGGGAGAGGATAGAGCCTGCAAAAAAAAAAATGGAGGGGCAGAGAGTTCCTGACTCAAGGCAGTCATTTAGAGCACAGTGTGAGGTACACAGGGAAGTAGGCTGTAAGAATCGCATATCAGAGAGACCCAGCAACTGGCATGATCGGGTCTGTGGGAACATCATTGTTGTGTTGGTGTGGCAACTAATGTCACTGAGCCCACTTGGGTTATCTTTTTCAAGCTAAAACATTCTCAAATGCAATAAAACAAATGTTGATCTTGTCAGAAATGCAATACACATGTCAATTCCTGTGAGCTCAACCAGACGTATAAAACAATGGTAGCTCCCTTTAGTAATCTACTAGTCCACCAATATGTTTGTAGTTTACCAATCCTTAAAATGTGGTGGCTGAACTTTTTTTTTTTTGCCAAGCTAAAACATCTTTAGCAAGTACAAAAAAAATGTTGATCTTGCCAGAAATGCAGTGTCCATGTGACTTCCTGTGAGCTGAACTAGAAGCAGAAAATGATACCTATTTTCAGTAATCTATCTGTCCACCCATTCCCCATGTAATGGAGATGAACAAATTCCGACACTTTTGAAGTCCAACCTGGGTGGCAACCATGACTCCCTGCATAGGTACAATGGAGGAGTTTGAGAAGCAACCCAGGAACAGAAATGTATTATTCTCAAGGTAAAAGTAAAGGACAAAAGGCTGGAAAAAAACACTTTACCTAGGGTAAGCCACAAAATATTTAATTGGGGTTTAGATATTGGGCTTTAAAGCTCAACTCCAAGCAAGTTTTATTTTCTTATTTGTATAGGGGAAGGGTCAGGACTTCAATTGGATTTCCTCGTCTCAAAGGATTATGAAGTGAGGGAATATCTCCCCAATGAGCATACAGACAGTACTAAAAGCTTGGTCAAAGTTCTGAATACTATCTATTCTATCGAGAAATAAAAAAAGAAAAATGCTTTGGTTGGACTTCAGCTTTAATTATAGATTGGTTGAAGGCCTTACTTTATTAATATTCTTGAAAATAAATTAATACATGAATAAACATAACTGATACCACAGTACCCCTTCACAATCATACCTACTGTAGTTTTATTCTGAAGCTAGATAATTGAAAACAAATGAGAAATCTGTGGTGGTTTAAAAGACAGGTTGTTTTTCAATACTTTGTTGGGATGCCTAAGCAAAAATACCTGAAAACCAAGCAATTTGTAGTAACTCAGCATCCGATATGTCAAAATTGCCTAAATGCACAGTACAAGTTGCAGGCATTGTGGCATAATGGATACCTGTTGGTCACTCTCGTGCAGCTGTCACTAAATCGGTCACCGCAGTCCGCGATCGGCCCCTGCAGCTCTGCCGCCCAGACCACCAGTCCACAATGGCAGATCAGCTGCTGAGCAGGGCAGTCATCACGGCAACATGACATGACGTGTGCGCCCTGCCCCTTTCAGCTCACTTTCTCTCCGGCTCCTGCTCCCTGCCTGTACACAAGTGTCCAGCAAGGATCCCGGTACAGCTCCTGTCTGCCCTCAAGGTAGGTTCTAGTCTTACAGGGGCACGCTGATGGGCACATTGAATGTTAAGGGGCACTCTGATGGGCACAACAGAGAACGTGCCCATCAGAGTTCCCCTTAATATAAATGTGCCCATCAGCGTGCCCCTTAACATAAAATCATAAAATGGCCATCAGCATTCCCCTTTTTTATGTTAAGGGGCACTCTGATGGGCATATTTTATGTTAAGGGACACTCTGACGGGCACATTTAATGTTAGGGTACACTCCGGTGGGCACACCATAGAATATGCCATCAGAGTGCCCCTTAACATAAAATGTATCCATCAGAATGCCCATTAATATAAATGTGCCCATCAGCATGCCCCTTATTTTATGTTAAGGGGCACTCTGATGGGCACATTTTATGTTAAGGGAGCACAAATGGGCACATACTGTGGAAAGGGGCACTCTGATTGGCACATGTGATGGAAAGGGGCACTTTGATGGGAAATATGATGGAAAGGGGCACTCTGATGGGGAAATATGATAGAAAGGGGTACTTTGAGTGTAAGGGGGCACTCTGACAGGAATACCTGATGTAAGGTGGCAATGTGATGGGGATACCTAATGTAAAGGGGCACTCTGATGGGCACACCTGATGTGATGGGAATAGATGATGTAAGGTTGCACTCTGATGGTGACACTTAATGTAAGGGGGCACACTGATGGGCACACCCTATTCGGACCTCAGCCAGAAGAAACTTGTAGTGACCGGACCTCCTTGAATTTTATACGCCTGCTCTAATGTAATCAGTTTTTGGCAAAATTGTATTTCTGTTGAAATAAATGACTTATCAACCTTAGTGCAATGGACAGGAAATAATGTACCACAATCAACTAGATCAGCACAAATGGTTTTAAATGCAACAACTCTGTTTGCATAGAACTCAATTACTAAATAAAGACATGCAATTAAACATTCTAGTTAACAAAATATATAATTATGAGTTTGTGATTAGGCAGTCAGTTTATGAAAATGTACTATGCTTTGATGGATTCATTGTTAATTTTTTTTTTATTGTGTATGTAAATAAAATCAGTAAGAGACAAACACAATGCCAGCATTGTTGCATACAAAAGACATGTCTAATGTAGACATGCTCTACTGGTACCACACCTAACATTGCATTTTATAACCTAAATACTGCATTAAAGTTGTACCATCACAATATATTTGCGCATATTGGTATACTTACCTCCCAAAGCACTCTTTTCCAGCGATGCAATGTCCACTCATCCCACAGTTGCTGCCATCTTCTCCCAGTGTTGTTCTGGGGCTGGATTCTTCAGCTGCCTTGATTGCCTAGCCACGTATTCTGTGAATTACTAAATACTGTACCTTGCACCCATGGAATGACAAGATTGTGCATGAGTTGCCCATGCAAGTCAAGTCTTATCTGCCGCTATGGCAGAGAGACTCATAGTACTCAATGGAACACAAGTGCTGTGATGTCACTTCACTCAAAGTCCATACCTCAGCATGAACCAGCGGCCATAGAAAGAGTCTGCAGGGACCTGTGCATTGCACCCAAGATCTACTGAGCAGTGCTCTCCAGGCATGTAAATAAAGAAATAGTAATTGCACATTTTCTAATTATTATGGGTGCATTTCTTTATTTTCTCCAAAAAGCGGACCGCTCAGTCCCTGTGTGAATTCCTGATATGTCCTGATATGTCTCAAAATTTTTCTATCATTTCCACCTTTTATTATTACAAAGTAATCCTTGGGCAAGTTCAAAGAGTACACTCCCAGTATATTTGCCTTCCTTGATCTTGTCTTCTCCAACGGCTGCGCTCCCCACAACCTCACTAACACCCCCTTTGCTCTCTCTGACCACAACCTGATTACCTTCTCTATCTCCTCGTCCTCCAACGCCTACCCCTCCAAATGTCACACTACTACCAGCCATAACCTCCGCAACCTTAACCCTGCCCCCCTCCACTCTGCAGCTGATCAACTCCACGACCGCATCCTCCCCCTGTCCTGCCCCGACTTGGCTATGACCGCCTACAACAACGCGCTCTCAACAACGCGCTCTCTACAGCCCTTGACTCACTAGCGCCTTTAACCACATGCAACATCAGACCCCGACCGCTCCAGCCCTGGCAGACTGATCACACCAAAACCCTCAAACAACACAGTCGTGCCCTGGAGCGACTATGGCGCAAAACAAAATCCCAACAAGCCTTCACCCGCTACAAATCTGCCTTCCACACCTACACCTCCTCCCTCCACGCAGCCAAACAAGCCTACTTCCTGACCCTCATCAAGGCCCTCTCCTCCAATCCTCGCCGACTCTTCTCCACCTTCAACTCTCTACTCTCTCCACCCCCACCTCCACCCAGCACCTCACTCACCGCCCTTGAGATTGCCAATCACTTCAAAAACAAGATTGACACAATTCGCAAGGACATTGCCGCAACTCACACGCCCTCTCAACCCGTCCCCTCTCACACAACTACCCCCTCATCCCCCCTCCCCCTCGACATAACCCGCAGGGACTTCGTCGCTGCTCAAACTCCCTCCAACCCCCTTCCCCCTCACTCAGCTACTCCCTCATCACCCCTCTCCCATGGCCCCACCACTGCTCTGACCTCCTCTTCCACCCCACCCAACATTCCTCATACTGAAGCTCCCCCAACACTCCGCACCTTTGACCTTACTACCATCGAGGAAGTCTCCAAGATCCTCTCTGATGCCCGCCTCACCACCTGCCCCCTCGACCCTATCCCCTCACAACTCCTACGACCTCCCTCCCCCTCCATCCTACGCTCCCTCACCCACATCTTCAATCTCTCCCTCTTCTCCAGCACTTTCCCCTCCCCTCCCCTCCCCTGAAACATGCATACATCACCCCCATACTTAAAAAGCCCTCCCTGGACCCCAATGACCCGAACAATCTCAGGCCCATCTCCCTGCTCCCATTTACATCTAAACTCCTTGAGCGCCTAGTCTACACCCACCTATGCTCTCACCTCAACGACAACAACCTCCTCGATCCCCTACAGTCCAGCTTCCGTCCCCTACACTCCACCGAAACTGCCTTACTCAAACTCTCCAACGACCTGCTAACCGCCAAAGCTAATGGCCACTATTCAGTGCTCCTACTCCTTGACCTTTCTGCGGCCTTCGACACAGTCGATCACCCCCTCCTCCTCAAAAAACTACACTCCCTTGGCCTCAGAGATTCCGCTCTCTCCTGGCTCTCATCCTACCTGTCACAACGCTCTTTCAGCGTTACCTATAATGCTACCACCTCACTCCCCCTCTCTGTTGGGGTCCCTCAAGGCTCTGTCCTCGGGCCCCTTCTCTTCTCCATCTACACCTCCTCCCTTGGCCAACTGATACACTCTCACGGCTTCAACAACCACCTCTATGCCGACAACACACAAATCTATCTCTCAACCCCCCACCTCACCCCCTCGGTCTCCGCCCGAATCACACACCTGCTGAGCGACATATCAGACTGGATGTCGCTCCACTTCCTTAAACTGAACCTCTCCAAAACCGAGTTTCTTGTCTTCCCCCCAGCCCGGACACCACCCCCCATTGACTTCTCTATCACATCCAACAACGCTACCATCAAACCCGCCCCGCAGGCCAGAGTACTTGGTGTCATTCTGGACTCCAACTTATCCTTCCAGCCCCAAGTCCAATCTTTAACAAACTCGTGCAGACTCCACCTCCGCAACATCGCCAAAATACGCACGTTCCTAACTCCAGAAACCACTAAACAGCTCATCCACTCCCTCATCATATCACGACTCGACTACTGCAACTCCCTCCTCACTGGCCTGCCTCGCCGCTGGCTATCCCCACTTCAGTCGATCCTGAATACGGCTGCCAGACTCATTCACCTTTCCAACCGCTCCGTCTCCGCCACCCCCCTCTGCCAATCCCTCCACTGGCTTCCGTTTGCGCAATGGATCAAATTCAAAATCCTAACGCTGACGTACAATGCTGTCCACCATACTGCCCCAAACTACATCACTGACCTAATATCCAAGTACCGCCCAGCACGCACACTCCGCTCCTCACAAGACCTCCTTCTCTCTAGTTCCCTGGTCTCCTCCTCCCATGCCCGCCTCCAGGACATCTCCAGGGTGTCACCCATCCTCTGGAACTCCCTGCCCCAACCCATCAGATTATCACCTACTCTCCTCTCCTTTAGGAGCACCCTGAAAACCCATCTCTTCAGGGAAGCCTACCCCACCCCCTGCTAACTTGCCGACCTCCTCCACTCTTCCTACCACTCCATCCCCCACAGCTATCTCCTCCTGTGCCACCATCCCCTCCCTCCTAGATTGTAAGCTCGAAAGAGCAGGGCCCTCAATCCCCTCATGTTTTGCATTGTATTGGTATTGTTCTGTCACATGTTCTGTCCCCCTCTGTAATGTACAGCGCTGAGCGAACTATTGGCGCTTTATAAATACTGTATAATAATAATAATCAGGAAAATCTGTATTAAGATGGGCACACTTCAGCCAGCAGCTTGCATACAATTAGTGAAACCTAAATCCAACACATACAGAACACTTAACAGTTTCAAAAGTATTTGTAAGACTTTAAAACCAGTAATACTTTTATAGGCTTTTTGGGTGTGCTTTGAGTGTGGGCAAGGACACAGGGGCTTCATGAGTTGACAGTCCACCCCTGCTCTTCAGTATCCATTACTTCAATGAGACTGGCAATTCAGCACACACAGCTCACTTCTCAGTAGGCATAACATTCATAGGACCTGCAATCCAGCACATATATAGCTCACTCCCGGTATCAATGACATCACTGAGACCTGTAACCCACCACACACAGCTTCCTCCCTAGTATCCATGACATCACGTAAACCTGTAATCCACCATACATTGCTCACTCCCCTATTACATCAGATAAACCTACAATCCAGCGCACATAGCTCATTCCGTAGTATCTATTCGCCAGAAAGACCTGCAATCCAGTACACATAGCTCACTACTCAGCTTCCATAATAATAGAGAGAGTGCATTCCAGTGCATATAATTCACTCACCAGTACCCATTACATTAGTGAAAGCTGCAATCTAGCATACATACTGTAGCTCAGTCCCCAGTATCCATGACATCAGTAGGACCTGTACTCCAGTGCACATAGCTCATTTCTTAGTATGCATGACATCAGTGAGAGTTGAAATCCTGTACATATAGATGACTTCCCAGTATCCATTACATCAATGAGACCTGCAATTCAGCACACATAACTTTCTTTTCCATAGCCATGACATCAGTGGGACCTGCTACCTGCTGCTAGGGCAAAAGGGTACTCCTTCATCCAGCAACATCGTCAATAAAGTTGTCCAGGAAGGCACCAAAGAGATGTTTGCCATCAAAGGACATATACAGTAATTTGTTTTGCACTGTTCTGCAGACTATCCTTTAAACCAAAGAGTCAGCCACATATGGATAGCCAGGAAAGACATGAGTTACAAGTCAATGTTTAGACACGTTCGATTCATTTCAGTACAAAATCAAAATTCATATGAAACTTTCCTTCTGGGTTTGCAGGCTGTGGCTGCTTGAATGGCCAAGCCATGATGAGGTCACTCCTGTACATGTGCACGGGAGCCACGGCACAGAGCTCTGAAGGAATGGCACTGATATATGTCATTCCTTCCGAGTGCATGCGTCGGTGATGTCACCAGCTGTT